TCATCTTCATCATCACCATCTTCATCATCATCAACCTTCATCATCTTCATCTTCACCATCATCATCATCTTTCTTCATCATCATCATCATCAACATCATCATCATCATCATCATCATCATCACCATCATCATCATCATCATCCTCTTCATCATCATCTTCATTATCATCAACAACATCATCATCCTCATCATCACCACCATCATCATCATCATCAACATCACCATCATCATCACCATCTTCATCATCATCCTCATCATCCTCATCATCACCATCTTCATCATCATCATCATCAACCTTCATCATCACCATCATCATCTTCATCATCATCCTCATCATCATCACGTTGTTTTTTTACTGTGACTTTAACTTCTGTCACCAGTTCCTCCTCCTACTACAGCAGTTGTTGTTGTTCATTCAGCTTTGGCTGAAAAGTTCAAATAACTTCAGAAAATATGTCAACGTTTGCTACGCAACCGACTCTAAAGACGATTGATGTGAGACCAGAATAAAGACATTTAAAAAATTAAAAAACAAAGATGTAAAACAAAAAGTGGAAAATTTAAAAATGGAGGCTGAGAAAGTGGAGAAGGAGGAGAAACAGAGGAAACTATTAATATATTCTAAATAAGGGCCACAGGGTGTGTCAGCGGTTGGAGCTCTTGCCTAACAGCAAGACTACAGGACAGTTTTTCCTAATCATCGAGTTCTTCACCACCTGAGACCAAAATCCAGAACCATTTTATTTGTTTTCCCGCACATTTTCTCAGAAAGAAAAACTGGTTCTGATCCTCAGTGGAATCTGATTCTGTTGTTGTTTGTGTTTTGTTTTTTAACATTTGTCCTAAAATGTTTGTGACCTTTTCTTTACAGCACAGACGTCACTGCTGGAGGTGAGGTTAACTGACCAAACTGACCGTCTGTGGGTGTCCCTGTGATGGACTCCTCACCTGACGTCTTCTGTCAGTGTCTTTATCAAACTCTGACTCTGGGAGAATAACATGATCAAAGGTCAAAGGTTAAATTCTGACTTTGATTTCAGCTCCAGTTCAGTTCTTTCTTCAACCTGATCCCAGATCAGAGAAGATCAACAATAACATCTGTGTCTGGCTGCTGAGGTTGGTTCACCCTGAGGGGCGTGTCACCTGACACCGCCCTCAGGGCGTATCAGAAAAGTCCCTGGACAGTCGTCGGTCAGGACTTTTGGACCGGACTGAAAACAAACTTCAAAGACACCACTGATCTTTTTCTCCTGCTCAAATGACACGGAGTGACTTGAACAAAGTCGTCCAGACGGCTTTTGTCTTTGACAAAGACCCGTCGCACAAAGGACGGAAGATGGAGGATAAAGTTAGGAAAAACCACAGAGCGACCGTTCTCCTGATCAGGAGAACAGGTTCAGTTCTGCTGTTTTCCTCTGATCTTTATGTTAATGTCATTCGTGGCTCAAAGCTCTTTATAATCAAAGGAGTTCTTCAGTTTGGTCAAAAACTTTGTCGACAAACGTCACGACGTGAACCTCCACTAACACGTCGTCATCACACACTCACACACCTCTTCTATTTCTGAAATCACACACCCCTCGTTCTCGTTCACGTGCTGCCAGTTCACGTCAGGACTGACGGAACGACGAAGACGAAGACGAAGAAGTTCAGCAGCGAAACAAGCACCAGGCACCGAAAAAATATAAGTTCAGCAGTGAAACCAGCACCAGGCCCCGAAAAAATAAAAGTTCAGCAGTGAAACCAGCACCAGGCACCGAAAAAATAAATGTAAAGAAATGAAGAAAAGATCAGCAGCGACAAGAATCATGTGATTTTCAGCAGGTTTTTAAACAGACACAGAATAATATCTGCTGCAAGAAGAGTCGCAGGTACAGCAGCAGCCTGTGAATGAAGTCTTCATTAGAACAGTGACTCCTGCAGGTGGAGCTGATGAAGTGCACCTCAGTCTAATGGAACACGTCAGGGTTTCAATCTGAAATCCTGATGAAAAACTGCATTCAATGAAGAAGAACTGAACCCAGACTGCTATCAACTGTTAATGCTTCTGTGCCTGCGCACAACAACATCTGCACTATAACAGAACAACAACTGCCACCAGGGGGCAAATAAGTCGAGTCCATTTGATTCGTCACCTCAGATTCACAACAAAATGTTTTTTCCTTCTGAAAAACAGAATGTGATATAACTAGAATGAGACTTTTTTTCTATTTTTAAATATACGGTAGTTGTGATTTCCCGGCCGTGGGGCGGCGTCACGACAGTGACATCAGGAGGAAGACAGAAGTATTTCAACTACACGTGTCAGGTTAAAAATCCTGCGTCTGAACAACAATAAAAACATCATATTATTAATATGAAGATAAAAAAACTCAACCAACGATGCCTCTGTGCCTGCGCACCAGATCAACACAGACCTGATTCAGCTCTGCTATAAAATCATTAGACCTTCGTCTTATTGTAATAACGTCAGGGAACAAAGAAGGATTTTATCTGGGTTTTTTTTTTTAAGAGCTGCAGTACCTCTGTTGACCTGTACACGATGGTGAAACCGTGAGAAAGAAAAAGGTGAGAAAGTACAGCTGCTGAGGTCATGAATTAAACCCCAGCTGCCGTCGACTGTCGTGACATCTGGGTTGGACGTACCTGCCTGATTGGTCGTCACGTTGAGCGACACGTACTGCCTGCTGTGGTCCTTGGCCTGCTCCGACACCCCGTTGACGGCCTCCAGCAGGAAGCTGTAGTTGGTGTGCGACTGCAGATCGGCCACCATCAGTGAAGTGTTGGACAGGTTGACGCGGCGCGGCAGAAAACGTACGTTGGGGCCGCACTCCTCCAACCCCCGGCCGCCCGGCAGGACCCTCCTGCACAGGATGTTGTACCTCACGTCCTTCCTGCCGCCCAGTTCCATGGGAACGGACCACTCCAGGAAGACACTGGTCTCGTTGACGTTGGAGATGGCGTTACGTGGAGCAGAGGGGGGGCCTGAGGGAGGGAGAGGGGCATCAAAGGCATCAAAGACACGCAGATCTACTACAACAGTTACGGTAACAAGTACGACCAATCCTGTCCTTACGTGTGCAGGCCATATTGGTTGGATCGGAGTCGATCTTGTAGTACCCATCCTCACAGCTGCAGGAGGTGGCGCCGTTCTGTCTGGCCACACTGTGGGGGGGGCATTTACTGCAGCTCAGAGACTCCAGCAGCGAACGGTAAAAGCCCACCTTACAGGCTGAAGACAGAGAGAACGGAGGACAGCAGGTCCATTAGCATTTCTGTGGTAACAGGAAGTTAGCTTTGGTGTGTGTTAATGTGCTACATCTAGCTAGCATTAGCTTCATCTGTATGTGTTTGTGGTTAGCCTTCCACTGGTATGTTAAACTGTTAGATGTTTCTGCGTCAACTTTGTCTCCAAACTCTCGTCCCGTAACGACGTCCTGCAGTGAACGTTAACAGTTTAAAGACAACGACATAAACACGCTACGTTTTTTTGCAGCATGTTGTCATTAGTCAAAGGTTCAGAGGAGGAATCGTGGAGCCACTGGTGCTTCAGGTCATCTCTCTGTTTCAGGGATGATTGATTTAATCCAACTCTTCAACAAACCAGTTTCTCATCTTTGTCAAAAAAAGTCGACATTTTCCTTTAGTGGAAGATACTTCCTGCTCAGTCTCCAGTTCAGTTCACTGATCTGGGACCAGCCACAGCGGTGTATACAGAGAGGAGTGAACACGAACACACACACACACACACACACACACACACACTCAGGCAGCTGTAGACTCCCTCTGAATGCTAACACACCAGCATACATCAACAACCTCCGTCGCCACGGCAACACACACACACCCCACCTAAACCGACCAATCACGTCCTTATCTCGGCATCACTTCTTTGTGGCTGAGTGTCTTATTGGATTCAATGTAATAACAATGATAATAATGTTGGACGTCTGATAAGGACCGTCCTGGAGACCAGTCTGTCTGGACAGACGTTTCTGTGCTTTGTCCAGGAGGGGACGCAGGGATATGAAGAGGTCAAAGGTGGTTTGTGTCACCTGGTTCCACAGCAGCTGGTTTTGGACATCGTCGTCCTCTGTGAGAACCCTGACATCGGACGACTGGTTTTAGTGTCTGTTTTTGAGGCTGCTCCAGGTTTCCAGGCCTGGTTTGTCTGATTATGGCATTCATCACAGACAGAAGAAGCAGAGGCACGCGGGGGGGGGGGGGGGGGTATGGGGGGGGGGC